TCTGCATAGCATAAGAAATGAGTGCAACATAAGATATGGATCGTATAAGACTCACCGACTGTACGCCGTCAACACTCTCCTCAACTTGTCTACTCCAGCCCCATCACCACCGAAAAAGACATTCAAAGGCATCGTCCTTCCTACATCCTTCTCAATCTCCATCGTCACCCCGACCATACCTTTCTCTTTCTCCTCCTTCTCAGCATCTGTCAACAGATCTCTAAACAGACCCGGCTCCCTCATTTCCAGTCCTCCACTACATTCCAACCAAACCTTGTTTCTATAAACCAACGGAATACCCTTCTTCACTAATCTCTCAAACTCCTTCCTCTCGTCCTTGTTCGAAGACAGCCCCAACTGCGCAAACCCAATCAACCCCTCTGAATGATCCAATTCGTCTTCACCCTCCTCATAAGCATGGGCGTCTAATCCCAAAATCGCTGCAGCCCCGCCAGAGGTCTTGGGTGCTTGTCCTTGAGATTTGGCTTTGGCTTTACTCCTCTGCTTGACGAATGCATCCCACTCCTTTCTCTGAACCTTTTGTCTCTCGTCGTGTATCTCTGTGAGACTGCCGAGCAGTTTCCTGATCGTATTCGGGCAAACATGTCGAGGCGTTGAAGGATTGATGCGTAAAACGGAGGTTGATGAGGTGCTAGTACCTGCACTACCGCTAACAACAGCGGGAACAGCAGAACCTGTTGTTGTTTGCTGGTTGCGAGATTTAGGGGCGGACGATGAAGAATTTTCAGATTTCTTTGTCTTGGAAGATGCACCATCATTCGTTGTCATGTCTTCTTCGTCCCTTCCAACAGCACCACCACTACTACTCGTTGTCTTTGTACCTGCCGGTCTATGTCCCTCTCCATCACAATCACAAACTTCCTTAACAACCTCTATCCTTGCTTTCTTCTTAACCCTTGATTCACCTGATTCCCCCACGTCCTCATCACTCCCCTCTCCATTCCCGTTCCCGTTCTCATCTCCAGAGTCGAACTCACCCCATTCTTCAACCTCTTCCCTATCCGCGATCTTGACTCCCGTCAAACAAGCCGGTGCCGAACATCTACATTCTCCCGCTCTCAACAACAACAGAAAATCATACGTTGACACGTCATACAAGAACCCATATCGATCCGTAAGGACTTGGGTACTGATAGCAGCCTCTTCCTTCCCGCCGGACGGTTGACCTAGGTTGAACCCAAACGAGAACCTCTTGCTCGACGAAGGCGAATAGGGATACGTATCCTGAGTACCAACATTTTGTTTGTAATTCGCAAAATGTAAATCTTTCGCTGTGAGAGAGGTATAGGTCCTGGCGAGATATTGCGTCGGTGGTTTAGCCATGGCTGGAATGATGGATTCTAATGGAACCGAAGGTGCACCGGAAGTCGTGAGAGCCGTTGAGGAAGCAGTAGAGGCATTGTTAGAAGCATCTAGAGGTCCTAAAGAGGGACTGAATAGAGTCTTTCGGTTGTTCCCTTCGTCTCCACCAAGTCCAGAGGTAACAACGGCATTAGAAGCCTTTCTCTTATGAGCCTGGCCCTGACTTTGACTTTGAGTAGCGCCAGCTACAGCACCGACCAATATTCCGGGGAACGATCCGAACAACGAAGGTGAAGGCAAGGGAACGATGTTCTTGAACGTGGATTTCTTCTTGGCAACCGTAGAATTTCTCGAGTCGAATCTATCAGAACTAGAACCTAGAGCACGAGAAAGCGTACGCGCAGCTTCTGTCGAAACCGTTCCTCCTCCTTCACGAGAGAGCATAGTCTCGACCGTTTGTTCACTGGTTTCCTCGCCGTCCTCTTCGGCCTCGGCCTCATTCACCACTGCAACTCCCTTCCCGGTACTGTCAGTCAAAGACGCATCCACCCTTAGTCGAGGTGTTGATTTCCTCTTCCCGTCCTTCCTGAGCCTATTATTATTATTATTGTTGGTGTTTATTTTAGGTCTCGGCTTTCCCTCCAAATAAACTATCCCTTCCTCTCTCGCCCTCCCAACCAATTCCAATGCCAACCTCTTGATCAAAGGTCCAGTCTCCGATCCTCCGTCAGCTAAAATCGAGTTTGCCGAGTTGAGGTCAATTTGAAGCTCCGAGTTATCGTCGGCTTTGATGGATGACGAATCGCTACTAGCGACAGACGTCGTCGTCGATACCGCCGGAACATTAGACACTCTCAAAATCCTCGTAGCATGTGCGATTGCTTTGAGAGACGTTCCTTGAGGGAGTAAGGAGAGAGGTACCCCTTCGTCTTCTGCTTTTACCGCAGACACGTGGTTCCGCGTCATTGAACTTAACGACTGCGAAGAAAACGACGTCGTCATCATCGTCGCGTTCGCAGAAGCACCCAAAGACGAGGTGGAGGATTCCATTGAATGAGGATGAGGATGAGGATGAGCAATCGCCGTGGTAGGCGTAGACGGAGGGAAATACTCTGCCCCGAAACCACTAAGCTGAGGCGGAACGGGGACAGCTGGAGAGAAAGTCGCGGATAGAGGAGTGGAAAGTGCTGAACGATGGGAACGAGCACCTGTTGAACGTTGAGTGCCTGTGGTGAATGTGGTATGGGTAGAGTGGACGGTATGGACCGTGTGTGTGGTGTTGGCGGTACGAACAGAACGGAGAGAAGAGACTTCATCTTCCTGATCGTTTTCGGTTTCTTTGTCCTCTTTGTCTGCATCTTCGGATTGAGGGCGTTGATCCACATCTTCAGCAGCTTCAGCTTCTACTGTTTCGTGAACATGCCCTTCACCCTCAGTACCACCAGCTTCATCCACATCTGCATCGACCTCATTCATCTTCCCCAAACTCGGATTCAATATTCCAATCCCCAAACCCAAAGATCCAAACATACTCTTTGTATTAGCCCTTCTCCTATCTTTATCTCACAACACCAGCACTACCACCAGCAGCTTTACCAGGTCTACCAAACAAATTCGCCAAACCTGACGAAGCACTCGAGGTGAGAGAAACCGATCTCGTATGTCCTTGTCCTGAACGAGACGTAGTAGCATCACTAACAGAAGAAGAAGCAACTTCTCTGGAGTTGTTGTTGTTGTTGTTGTTGTTCACCGCTAACACCTCATCACTGACCCCAGTACCAGAGGTAGATTGACTACTCCCTGTAGATCCGACCGAAACCACGCTTAGCGAGGAAGTCGAAGTTAACCGATTCTTGCTGGACAGTTTAGGACGAGGTCGACCGAAAAGGGTTCCCATCCAATTGGGTTTTTCCTTGACGTCTTTGTTCTCGGACAGTGCTGGATTCGAGAGGTCAGTCGTCGTCGTCGGTGCTGAGTCGGAAGTGGACGTAGATATAGATGTTGGATAGGTAGAGGAAGTAGGTGTGGAAGGCGATGGAGGAACTGGAACAGGTGCGGACTTGGTCGAAGTAAGCGTGGCTGTCGAACTGGCAGTGGATGTCCTACGAAGTCCAGGAAACGAAGGGAGGAAAGGGATACTGGAGATACCACCTGAGATGGTGAGGCAGATGATGCAGAAAGATCTTTTGGATGTGATGTGGATGGGTCAGTTAGTGGTGATTTAGAGGCGGTAGATGCCTTTCTGGACCTTGAACTTGACGAAGACTTGGACTTAGAATCTTTGGACACACGGGAGATACCGGAAGCTACTGAGAATGCGTCTGCATCTGCGTTGTCGTCAACTTCCGATATTCCATCCGTGCTCGGGTCAATAGGAGATTTGAACGTCTGGTCACCTGGAGGCGAAGTATCAACTTCTTTGAGCTCTTTCAAGGGACCAAGGAGCTCTGGCCTGGTGGTTATACTTCGAGGTAGAGAACGAGATATTGAGTCGTCAGCGATTGCTTCGGAAAGAGAGTCTGCCAGGGACTGTATAACGTAGTTAAGATCAGTTGGGCGAGTAGAGTAGAATATATAACAGAAAACAATATGAAAAGGGACAAGAAGGCAAGAAACAGAAGAACGCACCATGAAACTCTTTTGCCTTCTAACATGATGCTTTCCCTCCAGTTCTGACCCATCGTCATCGTCTATTTCTTCTTTCTCCTTTGTAGCATCGTGAATATCATCAGCCTCTGCGACAAATATCCTCTCTACAACGCTCCGAACCACCTCATGCTCGTGTCTTCCTCTCAACTCATTAGAAACCTCCTCGGCTCTTTTTCTTCTCGCTCTTTCCTTCTCTTCTAACGCGCTCTTGACCGCTTCCAACTCTACACGAGCTTTCGAGAGCGAGCTCAACGCGGAAGAGAGAACTCTTAATGCTTCGTGATAAGGGTGATTCGGCACATCTGCTGGACTTTCTGATGAGGTAGAGAGCGTGGATATCGCAGCTTGAATCGCTTCATCAGAGTATTCGTGCCATTTTGTAGCCAAAACGCGAGAAGTGAGCGTAGTAGACAGATTAAGTGATTGAGAAATCGTGGAAGCGAGTCCGGTTGTCGAGTTAGTCGTCGTTGTCGTAGCATTAGCATGAGTGTTAGCAATGTCATCGACAGAAGACGTGACGTCGAGAGACAAGTCGGTGGAGTCCGGTCCACCAACAATGATCAGCGGGGGTTGTCTAGGAGATTTAGATGGTTTGGATAGTGTCCTGTCGAACACGACATCCAACGACTTGCGTTTTTCCCCACTTCCGTGCCCATGTGTCTTACTCAACCTCTTCACACTCCCATCCCACGTCGCTGAGCCAGCTGCAGCGGAGTCCTTCTCTAGTTGTGCTTTGAGCGTAAAGTAGTTGCTGGAAGTCGAGCCTGGATTACTCGAAGCGACGTCGTGTGACGAGCGCCCTCGTCTTGAACGATTGGAACGATTAGAATGGGGTGTCTCTACGTCGGGCGCGAGTGGATGTGAATGGACCGGGGTCGTTGTTGAATTCGATGGCGTTGAAGACATGGGATTAACCTGGGTTCATTGCTAGTTGCACAGAGGGTGTTGGAAACAACGAAATTATGCAGCAATCACAATAATTTAGTCGTGTGTGCCATGTCAAATTGCTATCAACGTACTGCAGTAACTCCCTGGTAGTATATCGGTTAGTACACGCGCCTGTCACGTATGTCATATATCTTGGCTGTCACGCGCGAAAGCTGGGTTCGACTCCCAGCCAGGGAGAGATTTTCATTTTACTCTCCTTCATCATTGCGGCATCTTATTGTGAAGATACACAGAACGCTTATCATTGTATATCTATCTTGTATATATCTTGGTATAATCTTTAAACAGGTGAAAGAAGACGGTAACAACACTAAGTTCATCGGCATCGCATTATTTAAAATAAGCATTAATTATACCACGGAAGAGATCAAGCAATACAGATTGAAGTAACGATAAGAATCGTGGTCTTAAAATTCAACATGAAGGCCCAGATTTCTACAATTTGCCACTGACCCACATAGCAGACGGATCGTTCCAAAGATGATGATCCACGCTTCCGACCTTGAAGGAAAGGTGATTAACTCCCTGGTTCCTATATTCTTGCATGCTATATCCAAGAAAACCTTTTAACGTCCTTATCCACACCAAAAAAGTATATACACCTTACCTTATTCCTCACTTCCCACCTCGCCACATTTTCCATCTCAACTCCGTGTTCAACCCTAATGTCCTCCAGGCACTTTTTCAGCCTCTCTTTACATTCGAGCGTCATTTCACCCCAAAAACAACTTCCCAAATCTTCCCATTTGAACACCACAAATTTGTCGACGCCCAAGTCGGACTTCATCGCCTCATCCTTGCGATCGAACAGACCCAAAACCTTCTTCAGTGCAGCTACGGACTTCGAAATCGCTGGATCAGGAAGAGCAAGTCCCTCGACTCTTGGAACTTTATACAAGCCTAGCATCGAACCGTTCATCATATCCTCTACAGCCATCAAAGCAAACTTATTTTTCTTTCTCTCCGCAGTTTTACTACCACCCTCGAAAGTGAACCCAGTAACTTCCTTGACCTTCGGTTTACCGCCTAGGGCTCGTTGTAGAGCCATTCAGGAACCTTTGCTCTGATATCACGTTCCCGGTCTGCGAGAGAACGAAAGTCTTCGATGAAGGAGTAGGAAGAGGCGATGGCATCTCGAAGTCCGGGCTGCCAGGATATGGCACCCTCGTCGATAGCCCAGTCGATGTAGCTCCATGGAATCTTTGCAATTGTCTTGCCTGCGTGATGACCAAAGTTAATCCTGAAGACTCCACATCTGGGGCTGGATTTAAAACCCTTGTCAGAGGATCTCGAGGAAGACGATCTAGCCTTCTTTCTGCAAGTTGTAGACCTAGCAGAGGAGAACGAGGACATGGTGGTCAAGTCTCAAGAGCTAAGGTACGGAAACGCTCCTTAAAACAACCGACAAAATAGGGGTATATATGAAATCACTAGTAATATTTACAGCTTTGAGAATATCCCGTGACTATACTTCCTAGTATTCGTCCTACTTTCCTTTGAGCCACATGACAGAAGAATCCTCCCAAACACCATCTCCTACGTACCGCAGGCCATCGAAATATTTTGCATGCTAAAGAAGAAACTTTCAATATCCCTAGTCTTACAGAAGATAAAATAATAGTAGTAAAACCACTTACCGTATTCCTCACCTCCCACCTCGCCACGTTCTCCATGCTAACCCCATGTTCAGCCTTAATATCCTCGAAGCACTTTTCAAGCCTCCTCTTATATCTATCATCTATTTCCCAGGTCGGGAACCCTTCCCAGACAGGACAATCGAATACCAAAATCCCTTCAGTTTTTCGTTCAAGGTCACCACCGGACCGATTGAGGTAGTACAACTTCGGGAACAACGCCAACTCCTTTCTGAACGCTTTCACCGACTCGGAAGTCTCGGGGTCAGGCAAAGAAACCCCTTCGACCCTAGGAACCTGATACGTCCTGGCAACTAAACCAGGATCATATTTCAACATATCCTCCATAGCCTCAAGAGCAGCCTTCTTCGTCTCTCTCTCCTCTGTCCCACTGCCACCAAAGATATTGGACTCGTCGGCTCTCATAACCTGTTCCTCGAAAGTCAACCCGAAACCGAAAGCCTTCATACACTCGTTAAAGAACCATTCTGGAAGCTTCGGCTTCAAGTTGTTCTCCCGCTCGGAGAGAATGCGAAGCTCCCGGTTCTCAGACTCGGAGCGGTAAGAAGTGACAGCTTGTTGGAGCCCAGGTTGGCAGCGTAAAGCGCCCTTTTCGATGGCCCAGTCGACCCATTCAGCCGGTATCTTAGAGACTGGTAAGCCTCTGTATTTACCAAAGTTGATGATGAAGTTGGCACCAGGTAGAGAGTCGGTAGCGTTGTGAGTAGGATTAGAAGCAGAACGCGAAGCTGAGCCTTTATAAATGCTAAAGGCTGGGGCCTTCGAGGGGGACGATCGAGCCTTTCTGTTAGTTTTGGAACTAGAGGAAGACGACATGGTGGTCAAGAATCAAGGATGGATGAGCCTGAGACACGGAAACGCTACTTAAAACAAATGACGCAATAGGGGTATATGAAATTGGCACATAGGTACGTCTGAACAGTGCTTTCCAGACAGCTTTGGGTGTACTTGTCACTACGTATATAACTGATAGACATAAGAGTGCTCGCCCTACTTCGCCCCGACCCATACCGCAGACTGATCATCCCAAACATCATACCTAACGTACTGGATTCCGCCAAGACATTTCGCATGCTGGTGGAAACAAGAAGCTTTCAGTATCTCAACTATGGCTTACAATCAACGGAAAAGTATTTCACGAAACCACTCACTTTATTCCTCACCTCCCATCTGGCTACATTCTCCATTTTAACACCATGTTCAGCCCTGATATCATCCAAACATTTCTCCAACCTCTTCTTATACTCATCGTCGATACTCCAATCCGGAGTTCCTTCATAATCTTCATCGAACACCAGAAAACCTTTCCAACTTTTATGATCCTCATAACCTGTAAGATGTTCCGTATTCGGGAACAAATCCAGCTGCTTTCGCAATGCATCCACGGGTTTGGAAGTCTCGGGATCAGGCAAAGAAACCTTTTCAGCCCGCGGGACTTGATAGATCGTCTCGAGGAATCCAGAATTCGACATCTTCTCAATAGCCTCGAGAGCAGCCCTCCTCTCTTTTCTTTCCTCGGTCTTATTCGGATAGACGTTGGATTCATCGGCCCCCACAGCCGGTCTCTGCATATCCAACCCAAAACCGAAACAATTCATACACTCCGTAAATACCCAATCGGGAATCCTTCTCTTCAACTCGTATTCCCGTTGATCGAGAGAACGAAAGTCTTGGATAGTAGGATGAAGGGACGCGATAGCGTTTCGAAGTCCGAGCTTGGAGATTAACACGCCTTCGTCGATCGCCCATTCGATGTAATTCAGTGGGAGGTCAGCAGCTGTTTGTCCCTTGTATTGCCCGAAAGTGATTTTGAAGTTGGCGCCTGCAGGTCGGGGTGGCTTGGTAGGAGTAATGGTAGCAGCAGCTTTACGCTTTGAGTTAGAAGCTTTCTTTTTGGAAGCGCTAGCTGGGGATTTAGAAAAGGACGATTTGACCTTTCTTGAGGTGGACGACGAGGTAGACATAGTGGTCAGGGTCATGCTAGACACATGGCGAAACAACCCATAAAATAGGGGTACATGTCACTGACATTCCAAACAAGACCCTCACCCCTAAAGGGGGTATTGGGAACGTCTGACTTGCTTACAACTGTAGTTTTCTAGAGCATCACTATCGTTGAAAGTCGTCCAACATTGTGAGGATATAATATCGTCACATTCGTTCGAGTTCCTTGCTTTTTGTGCCATTATCATACCTCGGCCTCCAAAAGTTCAGCCTATCGATTCTGGTAAAGGCACGACACCCTACCCAACCTTGCCAATCTCTTTTCAACACCCTTCCACTCACCCTCCCGTCTAGAAGCAAATATATCCGCATAAATCACCTATGATCTCATTTATGCAACCTCAACGAACACCCAATGCCCACCACCGCAACTCCCATCAACACGAAATCGACCAAATACCCTCCAGCGATATTACTCCCTAGCGATAACGAAAACAAAGACGAAGCCGTCATGGGTGCCAAACCTCTGGTTATACATCCCATCATTTGAGCGGTCCCGTTGACCACTCCCAGAGCGCGAGGATGGGCGGATTCGACTATAAGAAGGGAGATAGCATCTGTGGGGTAGAACCGGGTCAGGGAGCTAATGAGAAGAGAAGGAAGAGAAGGGGAAAGAAGAAAATCTGCAAATCTTACTCACTATACGCCGTGTTAATCAAGCAAGCAAATCCCAATTGTACCACCAACACTGCCCAAACCGCACCCGTCACCTTCCCACCTTCCCATTTCACCATGACTCTCACTAACCAAAGCCCGAGGAAATCGAAAAATAGACCCGCGTAAGCGATTTGATACATCCTTCTCGGACCGATCTTTTTTAACACTTTCGTTAACCCGAACATCTGAACGAAAGCGTTTAAGAGTGAAAAGGTGCCCATGATGAGACCGATGGTGTGTGGAGGGAAACCGAGTCCCCCGAAGGGTGAGGTAGAGGTGGAGTAGACGAGAGGGATGAGGACGGAGTAACACATGTCGGTGAACGTGAGGAAACAATTGTTGACCAATACGGTTTTGAGTCGCGGGGTGAAGATTTCGGAGTAGGGAGGGGTGGTAGAGTTTGTTGCGGAAGGAGATGGAGCAGGTAAGTTGTCTGATGAGGAAACAGACGTGATAGTGTTATCAGATCCGTAGCGGCGTCCTTGGATTCCAGGACGGATGAGAGGTGTTTTTGAGTTAGACGAAGGATCTGAAGCTGAAGTGTCTTCGATCATACTCGTGTCAGATGGATTGATGACATGTTCAGCACCAGCGCATTGAGAAGTTTGAGGAGTGGGGAGCAATGATTCGGTCTCCTCTAGACTTCTACCTTTTTTACTGTTGACTATGGAGGATAAGGTCTGTCCAAACAAATATTTTAGAGCTTTGTTGCAACGAGATTATAAGCATGTCCACCCACCTCTTTGAGACCAAGATATCCCGTAACAAATACTACGAGAGAATACAAGGCCGCCGCTGCACATGGAAGGAAATAGGGATACTCTCGCAAGAGAGCAAGTTTCCCGGCGACGTTAGGCCATC